CCGCAGGTGCCCGTCGCGCCGACGGCTTGTTGCCTTTCATGTTGTTATTGTCCCGAAATGTCAGCGGGGCAGCAGTCTTCGCGAAGCGTCCTCACTTCAAGATGCCCGGGATGCTTCGCAAAGGCCAGGCAGGGGGATTAATGACAGGCTCGGCTGAAACTTTGCAGCTCTGGCACGCGTCCTTGCCTGACCTTCTCCATGGCGGCTTGCTTGTGTGCCAGCAGAGCCCCAACAAACTCGTACCTGACTGAGCTTTGCCAGCTCCCACGTGTGGGAAGGGGCTTTGTGGAGGTGGCTCTGGGCCCCCCTGTCTGCCCAGGCGGTAGCGTGCAAAGCCCAAGAGCCTTAGAGAGAGCAAGGGGAGGTATCTGGGGGGCACGTGTCTCCACAGGGCCCGCTATCTCCAGGGAAATCGCCCTGAGATTTCCTTGTGCGGATGCCTTGGGACTTCTCGCTCTGTGAGCATCCTCCATAGGAAACGTGTTGGGTGGTGACCTTGGAGTCACCCTTGGGGAAAGCGAGGGGACTCCGGCTCAATGGCTGGTGGCCACAAGACCAGGGCCAGTGGCAAAGTTAGAGAGGGAAAGGAAAAGTGCCGCTCTCAGCAGGCCGCCGGAGCTGGGGTGTGCGCGCGCACGCCAGAAAGCCCAGGACTGGGAGTACTGCCAAGCGCCGCTATCGGAGGAAGCGGGCCGCCCCACAGCTGGACATGGGCGGCTGCCAGCTGCCTCCCTCCCCCCGCCCCGCAGCTCCTCAGGTTCGGAGGAGTCCCCGTGCCACAATCCGTGCCAGTGTCACCAGCGGGGCTGGCTGGCGAGATGCCCTGGGGGCAGGGAGGGTTGCAGGAGCCCTCCAATGCTCCAGCAGTCGCAAAGCTGGTCCCCACGTCGCAGGACTCCTGGTGCATAGCAGGGACTGCCCTGCTCTGCAGGGCTGCCCAGGGTGACAGCAGGTGACACCCTCCTGGGGACACCCAGACCTTCCCAGATGTGAGTTCACATCCCCAGCTCATCACCGGTGTTCCCAGCCACCCCTCCATGGTTCTAACATGGGCATCCTCAGTGACCTGGGCCAGCAGGGCCATGGCCGCAGAATTTGGACTTGCTGATGCCAGAGCTTTGTTAGCTGCGTGTTTGCAAGCTGTGGCTCTTGCTCCCCTCCCTGCGCTGACCCTGGAAGCCAGAGATGCGGCTTTGCTGAGCAGCCCGGGCAGTTTTGGCTCGGTGCCTTTCCCCTTTTGCTCTGCAACGTTTCGGCAGCCAGGCAAGAAACATTTCCCACGCCTCGGACCCTCCGGAGGGCCTTCCTCCCATTGAGCGGAGTCCTTGGAAGGGAGCAAGGCAAAAACGCTGCCACTGAGCAGCAAAGAAGGCCTTGAGCTGGGTTGGGGGGGCAGGAAGCAGGGGACTCCTCCTGGCATCATGGGCAGTTCCTGCATCTCCGTTGCCACCACGGGGCTGGGCTGCGGAGGTCCACGGGCACTGGGACATGTGTCCGCCTGCTACCCCTTGGAGCTGAGCACCCACTCATAGAGGCTGCAGGAGGAGAGAGGAGCGTGTAAGAATGGGTGTATTTAGCGTCCCTAAAAGGGGGGTGGTGGGAGAGGAAACTGATCCCGCTGGAATGGGGCCAGCATACTGGGAAAAGCGTGTGCCGGGGCCACAGGGGGCTGGGAAAGGGCCCCTCGCCGCTTGAGGCGCAGCTGGAGGCCTTGCAGCCGCTGCCCCGCATCCCTTCCTGCTCGTCTCATCTTTGGCCTGTTGCTGGTTCCCGTCCAGATGTGCGGTGGTGGCCAGTGCTAAGAGAGGAGGGCTGGGGGTTAGGGGAAGATGCCACTGAGAGGAACCCCTGGATGTCCCCGTGGCTCCTTGGAGGTCTCACTCATGAGATGGGTCCTTGAATGCCTCCCAAAGACATTCCTCCAGGAGGGATGGGTGAAGGGGGTTCGGTGTGCCGGCTGCACTCCTAAATACCCAGAGCCTCGTGCACCTGCATCCCAGAAGAGCATCCCTGGCCTGGTTGTCTCGCAGGATTATACAGAGGAAACCCCAGCCACAGGGCAGTGACAGCTGTGGGCAGCCGCCGGGGCGATGGCAGAGCCGGGAAGCCCCCCAGTTCCCTCGCTCGCTCTTTCCTCTCGATCCTGCTGCCAGGGAGGGATTCAGCTCATGGACCCTCATGCCAAGCACCTTTGCCATCATCCCAGCCACTCCGCAGGGACAAGGGCGGTGGGGAGCACAGCCCATCACCTCCACGCAGGGCAGAGCCAGCCCATGGCCCAGCCTGGCTACCTCTCCGTCCCAACACCCTGCGCTGATTTCCCTGCTGCTGCAGCTGACCATGCTCCTAGAGCCGGGCAGAGCCCAGCAGGGACAGCAGAGCCGGGATTTTCTCACCTCCGCTCATTTTTGTAATGGTCCCTGCCCCTCTTGGTGTGGGCACCCCGGGATGCCCCAGCCAAGGGGCAGAGGGCCCGGCCGCCCCCCTGCCCACAGCGGCCGCCCCGGGGATGAGCGCACACAGAGCAGCTTTCATCTGCCCGCAGAGGGGGGGCCGGCCGCCCGCTCCCGGCTCAGCACCCGCGCGGCTCAGGGTGGCACCCTGTCCCCATGGCTCCTGAAAGGGCCGATTCAGTGCAGCTGAGCTCATCCCCCGGCGGGTTGCACCCCGTGCTCGCGTCCCCTCCCGGCCCCGCGGGGATGCGCTCAGAGCCCGCTCCGGCCCCGACACCCAGC